GACGCTGTGCGCTGTTGACCGCGGGCGGCGCGAGCACTCCCCAGAACTCAGGCCTCTGATCCTGGACGGCACGGACCGCCAGCCGGAAGCCGCGCCGAGCACCGGCGAGGTCGTCGAGGCCCCCCGCGCCGAGCAACGCGGCCGCACCTCGCGTCGCAAGCGCAGGCGTGTTCGGGCTTCCGCCGGAGCGGCAGCTACCACTCCTGCCAATCCCTCTGGTCAAGAGCCGCCCGCGTCAGCCTTCGTGGCAGGGCGCCAGGACTGGCCTGCCTCTCTGGAGCCTGCCCTTCCCGAGGGGGCTTCCGAGGCCCTCGGGGTGAAGGTGGAGAGCCACTCTCGGCGCGTCCCCTCTTGCGGCGACCAGCGCACTCGTTCGCTTAAGGCGTTTGACGTGTGGTGCGCCGAGCACACAGGAGTGGCGCTTGCCACATGGGCTCGCAGCGGCATCTTGCTCGGGAGAGCGCTCGCGACCTTCGGCGTGTGGTTGTACGATGCTGGCTTCCCCCGCCTCGTCCTCGTGAATGCGATCCGGGGAGCACAGGCCCTTCAGCCCCACTGGAGGGGCTTCCTCACCGAGGCGTGGGATGTGGCGGAGCGGTGGATCCCTTCCAAGCCTCCCTGCCCCCTCCCACCGCTACCGCGTGCTCTGCTGCGCGCCATGGTAGCGTTGTGCCTCGCATGGGACTGGCCGGATATGGCCACCCTGCTGCTTGCCGGGTTCACTATGTCCGTGAGGCCTGGTGAGTTGGCAACCGCCCGCCGGAGCGACCTCACTCTGCCCATTGACCGCCGTGAGTCCACGGGCGACGCTTTGCTGAGCATCTCTGTTCCGGAGGCCCGGGGGTCTGGCGGAGAGCGTCAACACGCTCGGTGCTCCGATCGTGCAGTGGTCAGGATGATGGAGCTGGTCTTTAGAGATTTGAGTCCCACCGATCCCCTATTGACCTTCGGTCAAAGCGGCTTCCGCACTCGGTGGCTCGATCTTCTTTCGGCGCTGGGCGTCCCGCTCGCCAGAGCGCCATCGGGGTTCGATCTGTCCCCTGCGCTGCGCTTCAGAACCGATATTTCGGACGGCATTAATCGCGTCTTCTGGCGTGATCGCTGGCGGCTAGCTTCCAGTACAGAGCGCTATCTCCACGATGCTGCCGCCTCTGCAGTCCTCCCATCATTGGCTGAAGCCGCTCGGGGCCGCGTTTCTTACCTCGCCGAAGCAAGCGACCTCCTCGTCGCATCCTTTCTGAATGTTGGCCCAGCTGTGTGGCCCATTCAGCTCGCGGCCGCCCGCCGAAACCTTGTCACTTCGCAAGGGCTTTGAGCCTGGGTATGGCTGCTGCGGCCTCCCTTGGCCGCCCGGGTGCCCTCGTTGGACGAGGCCGCCTGAGAGCGTCGCACGGCCCGCCCGCGTAGGCCTGTCCCGCTTACGGGCCGCCGCGGGCGCGCGCCGCGCGTTCGCCCTGAGACGTTGATTGTTTTGAGTGTTTTTGATGTGGGTTTTGAGTTTGAGACGACTTGTTTTATGCTCACTTGCGCAGCGTTCGGGGATGCTCTTTTTTTTTTCTTTTTTTTTTTTCTTCTTTTCTTTTTCCTTCTTTTTTTTTTTTTTTTGTTCCTATCCCCCATCGCGCCCGTGATTGCAGTCGTCTTGCCTAGCTTCTCGGCCCCCTCCCTATCCTCTCCCTCCTTTTTCTTCGAAGGCTGACCTGCGGCGCTGTGCGGCCTGCCCTTGGCCGCCCGGGTGCCCTCGTTGGACGAGGCCGCCTGAGAGCGTCGCACGGCCCGCCCGCGTAGGCCTGTCCCGCTTTACGGGCCGCCGCGGGCGCGCGCCGCGCGTTCGCCCTGAGACGACTGCTCACTTGCGCAGCGTGCGGGGATCACCATCATCATCATCAACCTCAGCATCATCACCATCATCATCGGGACACCATCATCGTCACCATCATCATCATCATCATCATCATTTACATCACCATCATTGGGACACCATCATCATCATCGGAACATCACCATCATCATCATCTCATCATCATCATGAGCAACGCCATCAACATCATCATCATCATCAACATCATCATCATCGGGACACCACCATCATCAGCAACATCATCATCAGCATCTTCACCATCAACATCATCATCGTCATCACGGGGACACCATCATCATCGTCACCATCAGCATCATCACCATCATCATCATCATCATCATTACCGGGACACCAATATCATCATCATGATCAGCATCGCCATCATCGGGCCACCATCGTCGAGATTATCATCATCACCTCATCATCATGGACAACATCATCACCATCATCATGGGGACACCAGCATCGTCATCATCATCATCAACATCAACATCATCACCGGGACGCCATCATCATCACCACCATTATCATCAACAACATCATCATCAACCGCATCATCATCATCATCATCATCATCATCATCGGGACACCCTCCTCCTCCTCCTCCTCATCATCATCATCATCATCATCTAATCATCATGTCATCATCAACATCATCAGGATCATCAGCAGCATCATCATCATCACCACCATCGGGACACCATCATCACCATCAACATCATCATCATCATCAACATCAGCATCATCATCATCATCACCATCATCATCATCATCATCGGGACACCATCATCATCACCACCATCACCATCAACAACATCACTACCAACATCGTCAATATCATCATCACCATCATCGGGACACCATCACCATCACCACCATCACCATCACCATCATCATTATCATCATCAACATCATCGGCGTCATCAGCATCATCATCATCATCATCATCATCATCATCATCATCATCATCATCATCGGGACACCGACGGGACACCGGCGGGACACCGCGCGGCACTGGTTGCCGGAAGGGAGTCATTTGGTCCGGCCGCGCCTCAGCCACAGCGGGACACCGGCGGGACACCGCGCGGCACCGGTTGCCGGAAGGGAGTCGTTTGGTCCGGCCACAGGAGACTTACCTCTCGCCCGCCCACGCAGTTTCGCCTCGCCCGCACGCACGGCACGCACGAACACGAAACCGAAATCGATTTCCCGGTAGGGGGGCTCTCCGTTCCCCTTCGATCTCACCCCCTAACCTCCGAAACAAAACACTCGGAGGTTCGCGCGGATTCTTCGCATCGGCGCTGGAGCCCCTTCGCTGGCGCGCGAAGCGCGCCAGAGCGGCGCCGGAGGCGTCGCCAGGGGGGGTCCAGCGCCGATGCGAGGAATCCGCGCGGACCTCCGCGTGTTTATGTTTCTGTTTTTGTCATCCTTCGTTCCCCTGGATACATCTTGAAAGACCCACGCTGTCCCTCATCTTCTGGTCCGCTCCACTGAGGTCTGTTCCCAGAGGGCCAGGGTTACGGATCTCCGCAAAGCTGGCGCCCGGGCGCGCACGCGCGCGAGAAACCCACGGGCCCCCGCGAGATCCACGCGCTCGCGCCGCGCGTTCGGCAGCAGGGGCCGACGCGCGGCGCGAGGGTGGGTGGGGTGGGCGGCCTCCCCAGCTCTCTGCTCCCCCCAAGGAGGGCTCCGCTTCTGCGACCTCAGAGTTCACCACCCACCACACCACCCCAGCCCAACCCGAAGGCCTCCATCTGCCCTCATCTCCAGCGTGTGTGGGGGGGGGGGGTCGGGGAATCTTGGAAGAACACATTCGGAACCCGTACCATCCCAATTTCCCCCCAGGAGGGCAGGGGATGAGCCTTTGAGAAGCCCTGGGGCCCTGGGGGAACGAACAATGACATAAACATAAACACTCGGGGTCCGCGCGGATTCCTCGAATCGGCGCTGGACACCCCCTGGCGGCGCCTCCGGCGCCGCCCCTGGCGCGCTCCGCGTTCCAGGGAGTGGGGTCCAGCGCCGATCCGAGGAATCCGCGCGGACCTCCGAGCTTTTGTGCAAGTAGTTGCTCGTTCCCTGCAGGTGTTCTCCCCAGGGAGGGCAGGGGCTGAGCCTCTGACGAGAAGCCCCCTCTGCGATCTCAGAATCGGCGCAACCCCGAATTGTGCTGATGCTGTGTGTGTGTGTGTGTGCGTGCGCTGCCCACCCACTCCCCAGGGGGCGGCGCGTGCGCGCGCCGAGGAGTCTTGCAGTGCACGCCTCTTGGCGGGCGCCTCCTGTCCGTGCTGCTCGGAGGAGCGAGGAGCCTGCAAGACAGGGCTGGGCCTGCACGCTGGACCTACACGCTGTTCTGCTGGACTTCGGCTGCGTTTTCGTTTGTCGTTTTGGCAGGGGGTGGGGGAGCAGGAACACAGGCGTAGGACAAACCGAACAACACAACGAAAGCAGCACGAGAAAAAACGTTTAGGCCCAGCCCTGCTACAATATTCAGGAGGGGAAACAAACAACAGAGGCACAGATGCTCGTCGATTCTCGGGTCGGGCGAAAGGGGGGGATTGGGAAAGGGGGGGTTACGAAATTTGCTGCATGCAGCTGGTTTCGGCCTCCCCGAAGGGCCAATTCCTCGATACATGGCCGCTCCCGGCGCCGGGAGGCGCCGGGAAAATCAGCTACGTGAGCTGATTCTCAAACCCCGCCTTTGCTATCCCCCCGTTTCGCCCGACCCGAGATTCCAAGGACAGGATGGGGAAGTACGAGGGTCGGGCGCGCGCCTCCAGCCCCGGTGCCGTCCTCTGGGGGGGCCTCCCCTTCGTCGCCGAGGCCGGGTGCTCGCCTCGGCGCTCCGCTCGGGGCGCGCTGCTGGGAGAGGTCCCGGGGCTCGAGCAGGGGACCGACTAGAACATGTATGTACCATTGTCAGGAGGGGAGAAAACACACAGACACAATTAATCGTCGATTCCCCAGAAAATATTGGAAAATATAGTAAGTGGGGGGAAGACAAAAACCCAGAAAATATGGGAAAATATTGGGGATCCTTTGATTTGTGTGGTTTTATTTGGGTGTTCCAGTTTCCCTTCACACTGTTTTTCCCCCGAATCTACAAACCATCTTCGAATGTGCCGTGGATCTACGGAGCATTCTACGCTTTGTCTGCCGATTCGGCCGACAAGTTGAATGTCGGGGTGCACCAGTTCTGTGCAGTCACCCCGGATAGTAAGGATGCGCAATCAGGATGCAAGGGCCCTGGACGCCCATTTCGAAGCGTTTCGAGCGGGGCGCGGCCAACGAAAGTAGCCAAGGATGGACCAAGGAGGCCAGACCGAAACGTCAAACGATGCTTCTGGGGGGTCTGGATTTGGGCGCAGCTGCGCTGCTCTGGGGGGGGGTCCAAAACGAGCCGTCAAATTTTTTGACCGCCCCCACTGTTGTGAGGTGGAGGATACCCTTGGGAAGGTTGCCAATCATTACTATACTGGTTGACTGTAGCCGAGTCCCTGCTCGAAACCCCACCGGGGCTGGCCGCCCGGCGTCGCCGCGAGGCCGGCTTCGCCACGGCGCCCCGTGCGGGACGCGCCTGGGACAGGCCCCAGGCTTGCTCTTCGGTATCGTGTAATCTGCCTCGTGCACCACCTGCTGCAGCTCCTGCTCGAGGTGCAGGAAAGAGATCTCGCCTCCGAGGCGCTCTTCGTGGCCAAGGCTGGCTTCGGGACCTCTGACGGGAGTGCTGGCCTGTACCAGTCACAGCAAGACGGGCGAGCCCCCGGGCCCCTCGGGATCGCCGCGCCCTGCTCTGCCGACCAGCCGAGAGACGCCTTCAGACGCCGGGCCTCCGGTCGTAGGGGGCTGCGGGGCGGCGCTGGCAGGCGGCGCCCCCGCGGGGGGCCCCGCCGGCTCCCGGGGCTCGTTTCGATTCCCCCGATTCGCTTCGATCCGATTGTGGCCGCGCGCAGAGGTTCGGTATCGTTCAACCGATCCCCATCCCCATCTCCATCCCCTTCGAGACCCCCACCAAATTGCCACCCCAGTTGGGGATACACCCCTCGAAACCCGAAGAGAAAGACCAATGTCCCCATCACTAGGGGGGTAAATCGGCCAGCGGGGCCCAGGCCACGCCGCTGGGCATGGGGATCGGTTAAACGATATTCAGCTCTTCCGACGACAGCAACGTCCCTCTACAGGGGCAATATTCCAAAGCAGTCCAAACATAGTCGGGGGACGATTTTTTTAGCATGTCTTGCCTCCTCTTGGGTATTTTTTTGTAGATTTCTTATTTTTCGCCCGAACTCTGGCTGTAGGGGACACGCCCGACCTAACGACAGCACGACCAGGCATGGCCGCGAGGATTGCTTGATTTGGGTATGGATGTAGGGAGGAGAAACTGGACTGGACTGGACTGGAAGAAGCCGCGCCTAGACGGCGCATCGGCAGACAATGGTATTAGATAGGAGGCCACGGAAAATATGAAAATATGCCAGCTAAGCGCATGCGCGCCGGAACACGGCCACTGAATTGAGCAGTTGTGGGCGGCGGTAGGCAATACATCAGCGCGAAACTATGCAGGAAGGGGGGCAGGAGGGAGAGGAGGGAGGGAAAAGGAGGACAAGGACAAGGGTAGGGAAAGAGAGGACCTTTTTTTGGAGGGGAGGAGGAGCCCCCCCCCCAAAAAGGTCCCAGGGTTGGTTCCGAGGGCGGCTCGAGCGAATGGCAAAGCAGTGTGCGGTAGGGTCGCGTCGTGTCGACCGGCGGTTGAGCGCCGCTGGCGGCCCAGAACCAGTCGATGTGGAACGATCTGACGTTTCGGAAACGTCGGGGGCGGCCAAGGGGGGGGGGTGATGACTAGGGGGGGGTGGAGATCATGTTGAGGGCCATGATACTTCCCCAGATTTCATGGCGCCTCTTCTTCTTTCAATACGTCCCTGGCCCCCCCCGGGCCGCGCACATGCCTCCGGCCATGATTTGCACCCCCCCCTCTAGGACGCACCCCACTTGGCCGCTCCCGAAGACGGCCGATCGTTCAAGTTTGCACGATCCCCGCGGTTTCAGGAGCCAACGCCGACGTCGGCACGACACCAGCCTGTCGCATCTCCTCGTGATCTCTGGTGTCTGCGGGCCGTTTCCACACCCCCGGGACCGTCAAGAGAACGGCTCGGGATGAAGGCCGATCCCTGATGCGATTCGGAAGCTCCAGGGGGCGTAGACTGGAAAACAGATCGAGTCGTCGGAGGTTTCGGCCACCAATGAGGCCCCCGACATGCGCACGTACTTGATTATTGCTTTAAATCAGAAGGGTGGTCCTAGAGGTCTTGTGCGAGGTCTTGTGCGGGATGTCTTCTGCGGTCTTGCGTTGGCTCTTGTGTTAGGTTCTGGGTGTCGATTCGCGTTCTCTTGCTTCCTTCTTGCCCCCTCGAGCCCACCGCTTCTCAGTGAACAGTGGACGCCGCCCGCGCGGCCAGGAAGACACGCAAACGTGGAACTGGATTGCGTTTGGCATTGCACGCGGCAGAGCCCAACGACGTTGCAGAAGGAAGAGCAAGGGACGACGAGCGTGGCGAGGTGGAAAGCAGGACGGGCACGGCGAACGCCACGACGGCCAGGCCAGCGCCGTTGGCCCCGGGGCGTGCTCCTGCCGTGGCCGCGCGGCTGGGCAGGAGGCACGGAGGAGACGCAGCAGCAGCAGCAACAGCAGCAGCAGCAGCAGCAGCAGCAGCAGCAGCAGCAGCAGTAAGAGCAGCAGGGAGGCGGCGGAGGCTCGAGCGCCAGCCGCTGCTCTGGCACCAGCCCGCGGACGATCCCCTGTCGACGGGCTCGCGGTCGCGAGCGCCGCCTGGGCAGCATGGCGAGGAGTACGGTGCCAGCGTTGCAACTCACGGCGATGGTCGCCAGGGATCCGTGGCCTCAGGAGGATCTCCCGGGGGACGGTGCCCACGATGGTCACTCTGCACGTCTGCGTAACTCTGCCTCGCCCAGAACCTTCTCTGCCCGAACCTTCTCTGCACGTCGGCCGCTCGACTCTGCCACGACCGTGGTCCATGACGCGTGGTACGAACTCGTCGGGCGTTGGGAGGAGTCCCTGGAGGATATCGAAGACGCCTACGGCGAGTCACCGCTGCCCGCTGCCTTTTGGAATCTCCCATATGGCCGAGCGTTGTGGCAACAGCTCTGGCAAGCTATCGGACCATGTGTTCCTCCAGCCGTTGTGGAGTCTCTTCGGGGAACACGCGGGTGAGAAAGAAGATGCGGATGAGAGGGGGGAAAACAGAGGGGGAGGAGGAGGAGGAGGAGGAGGAGGAGGAGGAGGAGGAGCAGGAGCAGGAGGAGGAGGAGGAGGAGGAGGAGGAGGAGGAGGAGGAGGAGGAGGAGGCGGAGGAGGCTTATTGTGGGCCTCTCGGAGGCCTCATGGAAGCCCCCTTGGGCCTCTTTGAGGTCTTGTAGGCCATCTTGGGCGCCTTGGAGGCCTCTTGGGCCGTCTTAAGGCCCTCTTGGTGCCAGCTTGCAGGCTTCTTGGGGCGTCATGGGATCATTTTGGAGGCCTTTGGGGCCATCTTGGGGCGATTTGGGGGGCCTCTTGGGCCGTCTTGGGCCGTCGGAAGGCTAAAAAGAAGCAAATGGCAAATTCTTTCAAACACCTTAGGTCAATCAGTGAATTTGGCTTCTTCCGGCCCTACTGGAGGACCTTTTGGAAGCCTTTTGCGCCGTCTTTGGATGCCTCTTGGCGGCTTCGGGGCCGTCTCGAGCCGTCTTTGAGGCTTCTTAGACGAACTTAGAGGCATCTTGGACTCTCTGGGGCCGTCTTGGAGACTATCTTGCATCTTTTTGGGCGAACTTGGAGGCCATCTTGGCCGTCTTGGAGGCCATCGTAGGCCATCTTGGAGCCATTTGGAACAGGAGAAACCTTGGCAACAGGGTCTTCTGGGTGACCGGTGCTCTGTTCCGAACCCCCTTGCGGATATGTTTAAAAAGAGCAGGAACCTCTCGGACATCCAGCAGCACGCCAGGCAACCTTGTGGCAATATCAACAAGGGGCGGCGGATCGAAGACGCCTACGGCGAATCACCGCCGCCCCCTGCCTTTTGGAATCTTCCATATTGCCGAGCGTTGTGGCACCAGCTCTGGGAAGCTATCGGACCATGTGTTCCTCCAGCCGTTGTGGAGTCTCTTCGGGGAACACTTGGGGAGGCTGGCGGGGAAGATCAGGAGGAGAAGGCGGACGAGTGGGAGGAGGAGCAGGAGGAGGAGGAGGAGGAGGAGGAGGAGGAGGAGGAGGAGGAGGAGGAGCGAACAGGAGGAGGAGGAGGAGGAGAAGGAACAGGAGGAGGAGGAGGAGGAGGAGGAGGAGGAGGAGGAGGAGGAGGAAGAGGAGGAGGAGTTATCTTGGGAGCTTCTGGCGGCACTCTTGGAGCCTCCTCGGAGCTTTCTGGGGGCCTCTTGGAGGCATATTGGGGCCTCCTTGGGCCTCTTGGGGGCCTTCGGGGGCTTCTCGGAGCCCTCTTTGGCCATCTTAGGGCATCCGTGGCTCGTGTGACGCCGTCGGCAGCCGTTTCGGGGGCCTCTCTCGGGCTACTTGGGGCCCTCTTGGGATGCTCCAGGGCCGTCTTGGAGACCATCTTTCATGGAGCTGCGCCCCCCAAGCGGATTGGTGCAACGTTTTTGTGTTTTCCCGAAGCAACACATATTTATATTTCCAGTTTTTCGCTTTCTCTTTGTTCAGAGGTTGTTGTGTCGCCGACCCGTTCCGATGGTGGGCATTCGGCGTGCGGCTTGCGCGCACTCTCGGCTCCACGCGTCATTTGAGCGGTGTCGCCCCCTGTCTGTTTCCGCCTCAGCTCAGTGCTACCCTTTTTTTAAAGTTCAGAGCTGCGTTTTCGGGAATCGTTTCAGCTCGCGGTGGCCTCTTCGGGGGTCTTGTGCGCGTCGTGGGCCGTCTGGAAGCCGTCGTGGGTGTCGCGGACCGATCGTTCGACGACTCGGAGCCCTCTTGGACCGTCTTGGGCGCCTCTTGGGGCCCTTTTGGATCGCTTTGGGGCGCCTGAAAGCCGCGCCCAGGAGGAAAACCATCTCTGGCCCGACCTGGCCGGGGTACTTTGCGTCTGGGGGCCGCTAGGGGCCGCCCCGCGCGCGCGAAGTAGAAATGTTGTGAGGCAGTCGCCAGAGATCTTCGCACGCCTCTGGCCAGTAGGACCGGCGAGTTTCCCCCGAGAAGAATGTCCAGTGTTATGAGGCGCGCGACAAACTCGCGGGCCAATTTCGACGACTCTTTCTCTCCTCCTCTCCTGCTGCTGGTTCCTCTTCTTTCCTCTTCCCGCTGCTGCTGCTGCTGGCCCTCCTGCTGCTGATGCCGCTCCCTCTTCTCTTTTCCTTGCCGTCGCTGATGTTGCGCGGGCGCGCCTGCTTGGCGTGCCGGCGCACCGGGCACGCCCGCGATTCTGCGCCCACGATTTCGCCTCCGATTTCGGCCGCGATTCCGCCCGCGATTCCAGACACGATTTTGCCAACGATTTTCGGTCACGATTCCGTGCCCCTTTGTAAGGCCCCATGAAACCACCCACGATTTTGAACACGATTTTTTCCTTTTTGATTTGGCTGTGCGAGAAATCAATCGTGATCCAAAAAAATTGTGCTTTCGCGGAAGGGAGGCCAACAAAGTCGGCAACATCGAGGCCGAACAGGTGTTCCAACTCGTGGCCGAGAAGGGGGGCGGGAGGAGGGCGCCGCGGAAGTGAGGCGGGGGGGGCGGGGAGGAGGCCAGGGGCTTCTTCGGGGACCCCCGCTCGTTTGGAGAGGCTGCCCTCGCGGCGGGCTGCGCTGCCTCGCGCGGCGGAATCGCGATTGCGCCGCCGTGCCGCGGCCGCCGAGGCTTCGAAGCCGACGTCTGCCGTCAGGTCCCTCTTCCCCGTCACGGGCGCAGCTAGGCGCCGTGGTCCCCATGGCGGCGCAGCGGGTCTTCGCTGCGGTTGCGGCAGAGTCTGCGCCAGCGGCCCCCGCGCCCGCGGAAGCTCCACGAGCACCGCTCCCCAGGAGCAGAGTTTGCTCGACTTGCGCGGGCGCGTGATCCAGCAGCCTCCGGCGTCCCGCCAATTCCCCGCGCAGCGCTCGCGCTCGAGCGTTTTTGCAGGCGGGGTCTCCAAAGTGACCCTTTCTTGTGGTCCGTCGGTCCCGCGCCGGCGCGTTCCATAATGAATCAGCTCGGGAGGTGTTTCTCCCGCGCAAGCTATCGGCCGCGCGGCAGGGGCAGCGTCTGGCGCTTGGACGGCTGCGCGAGCGCGCCGATTCTGTCTGCACTTCGACGGCTGCGCGCTTCGAGGTTCGCGCGGGCGCTATGCCCAACGACCGTGGAACGAAACGTCGTCGCGGTGATGAGTTCCATGGCGGTCGCGTAACGGGTTGGCTCGGGGGCCGCGTTGGTCGCGCCTCTGCGGCGCGCGTGGCGTGATTCAATGGAGGGGACAGACGGCGTGCGGCCAATCGATGACGCGCGTGCGTTCCACGATGTTTCCCCGCGGTCCAGCTTAAGGAGAGCGGTGCGTTGGACATTTTGCCATTTCGACATCGTTGCGGCTCTTGGGGGGGGCTCTGCTTGGCAACATCTTGGGCGTCTTGGATGCCTTTTGAGGCCCTCTTAGGACTCTCTTGGGGCTGTTTTGGGGCCCCCTTGGGCCGTTATGGGGTTATCTTGGAGGCCTCTTGGGCGATATTGGGGCGATCGTTGGGGGTTTTCGCGCCGTCTCGGACCTTTGGAAGGCCGAAAATCACGTGCTGAAGTCCTTCAAAAGCCATCGGACAATCAATCCGTTTGGCATTTTTGGGTCTTCCTGGATGCCCGCTTGGGCCGTTTTGGGCCACCAGAAAACCATCTTCCGCCGTCTTCGTGGCCTCCTGGTCCGTGTGACGCCGTTGGGAGCCGTTTCGGAGGCCTCTGTCGGGGTACTTGGGGCCGTCATGGGGTGCTCTTGGGCGTCTTGGAGGCCATCTTGGGCGTTTTGGATGGCTCTTGAGGCCCTCTTGTGGCCCTCTTGGGGCCGTTTTGGGGGCCTCTTGGGCCGTTTTGGGGCCATCTTGGGGGCCTCTTGGGCGATATTGGGGTGATCTTTGGGGGTTTTGCGCCGTCTCGGACCGTCGGAAGGCCGACGGAACATATGCCAACATCCTTCGAACACCGTGATATTTTTGTTGTTGTTGTTGTTGTTGTTGTTGTTGTTGTTGTTGTTGTTGTTGTTGTTGTTGTTGTTGTTGTTGTTGTTGTTGTTGTTGTATTTTTGGGTCCTCCTGGAGGCCCAGTTGAAGGCCTCCTGGGCCGTTTTGCGGACCTCTCGGGGGCCTCTTGAGCCGTCTTGGGCTACTAAAGAGCCATCTTTCGCCATTTTCATAGCCCCCTGGCCCGCGCGACGCCGTCGGCAGCCGTTTCGGGGGCCTCTCTCGGGCTTCAGGGCTGTGTTGGAGGCAATCTTGGGCGTCTTGGATGCCTCTTGAGGCCCTCTTGGGGCCCTCTTGGGGCCGTCTTGGGGGCCTCTTGGGCCGAACTGGGGCCACCTTGGAAGCCTCTTGGGCGACCTTGGGGCGATCTTCGGGGGCTGCTGCGCCGTCTCGGGCCGTCGGGAGGCCGAACAGGAGCCGACCCCGCAATTTTTGCAAAACCAAGGGGTATCAATGATTTTGTCTCCGCGGGCCTTCCTGGAGGCTCTCTTGGGAGCCTCTTGGGCCGTCGTGGAAGCCTTTTGGGCCGTGTCGGGTCATTTTGAGGCCATGTTGGGCTGTTTTGGCTGCGTCTTGGGCCGTCTTGGAGGCGCCTCGGAGTCATCTGGGCCGTCTTGGAGGCATCGTGGGAACCATCTTGGACAATTTTAGCGGTTTTGAACGTCATATTTTTTGTTTTAAGAAAATACATAGAATTCGTCAAATTGCGCTCCTTTCTGGTGGAACGGCGGGACGGGCCGAAGCCCCAAGGAGAGTTTTTTTGGAAAAGGCCCACACCAAACCGTCTAGTGTCCAGCATGCCCGGCACCCTTGTGGCAAGACTTCAGGGGCTGGCGGATGTACTGGCCTTCCGCCTATACCGCCACCGTGCCTGCGCTGCGGTGCAAAGGTCGA